TCCCTAGCAGTTTTCTCTCTTCTTAGGAGCCATGCACCTGAGTGCTCTGAGACAATATGCAATGGTATAATAAAGTAACATCATATATATATTATATTGAAGGTGATGCAATTTATGTTGGCTAAAGAGGAAAACACTATAAAATCTGTTTAACCCCTTAATTTTATTACCACTATTACAAACTTATAAGTGAGTTTATTTGATTACTAAATCAAAACATGCTAGAAAACACACACACATAATGAATCCTCTCTGACATCACGCTGTTACATATCTCATCTTATTTCATCCCTAATGCAAAGCCACGGAGTTCAGAAAATAAATTATTAAACCCATGTCACTCCCCTAGCAGCCATATCTTACATATCATTAGTAATTTTTCCAAAGCATAATACACACCACCCTTAATTCAATAATGTGCCACAAATGTACAGCCTTATAACCAGTTTGGTTCTTCAAACTGGAACTGTCAGTGAAACAAGTTATTGCCAGGCAAGGCTGCGTTCTGAAGAACAAAACTGTTAGCTCTGCCCTAGCACTGCCTGAACCATATGCCCTACCCTGCCCTCCTTGTACCACCAAAACATCTCTGCTTATTTTGGAAAGGTGCAAGAAGAAGAAACTTAAGATTAGCTCCTTTAGCAGCTGTCCCTAGTTAACCATATACATTTCACTTACTGACAAGAACCTTACAAACCACAAGATTCATCAACATTTACCACCTAAGACAGAGGTTCTTTCACAGATGAAAGGGCACATGGCAAGTACAAACTCAGACCTGCATCTTTGTTTACCCCCTCCTCCAAACAGCACACCTCACTCCCTTCCTTTATACACTTTCCCCCCCATCCCCCAAGAGTTAAGTGCTGGTGCCAATTCCTGCCTATTATTCAGGTGTCAATGAAGATGCTGAGCTGTCATCTAATCACAGATGACAGAAGAACCACATAAACTGAGAACAATTTAAAACTTTATAAATTAACATTATCAACTTGAACTGACAAAGTTTGCAAAGGAAAAAAAGGAAGTCATCCGAAAAAATAAAATAGTGTATTTAGTTTATGTTAACATGTTATTCCATGCACTTGTCAGTGTTAGTAATACCTGAAAAAACTCAGATATGTCAGTACTTTCCATTTTTAGATTTCTTAAAGAAAAAGACAATTAATCTAAACTATGGGGACGTACCAAAAGCCAAGAGTATTGTCTAATCCCACATGTCGAACTATTATGAGAATCCCCTTAATTTAGATACTACATAGGGAGATTACACCAATATTATTTTTTAAACCCCACCTTTATTTTTTGGCTAAATTGTAAAATGCAATTTCAGAGTAGCCTCATTCATTTTTGGAACTAGATGAAATCTGTTTAACCCAACAAAGAACGCATATGATGATGGAATAGCATTTGCTACACCACAGTAAAAGTTGAGAGGCTTTTTATCTATAGTTGATTCGTCAAAAGTCCTCTGAAGTCCACATGAAAACACTCTCGCTAACAAAAACTGCCAGGCCACTTGACACAGTTGAGTTGAGTTAGTGATGCCTAACAGGGTTCATGTGATCAAACAGATCCCAAGACATGTCTTTTCCTTCCTCCTCAGAAGTGTTTCAATCACACCACACCCTCTACTATTTTCTCAATAAGAAATATCAAGAACTGTTAAAAAGTCACCTTGGTTAACTACAAATATCATTAACATTCCAGGATGTCATAGACAAAACACAGAAACTTTGGGGAACCAGCATAAGTAGTATTAAATTGCACAAAACACTAAAAACAAGGAAATAATTAAGATCAAGCTTCCCATAGCCATATTATTACCTTGTTATTTTTTTCTGGATAACTATGAATAACTGGACAACTAACAGAATTAGACAAAGAAAATTAAACCTCAGTGAGAAGCAGAAAAGTTTTAAAATTTTAAAATAGCATATGAAAGCTACCTAAGAAAGAACTATAAGATGAGACAAAGGCTAAGAAACAAAGGCTAACAATTCACTGTTCACTAGCGGTGCACTGATAGAGATTTTTTGGGCTAATACCGACGGTCGGTTTTTGCCATATCAGCCAATACTGATCTGGTAGCCGATACGCAGCTAGGCAGCTTGCAGAGCAGCATCCTGCCAGTAAGTCTGTTGTGGGGGAAGGGGCATGCGGGGGGTGGGCAGATCGAGGCACCTCGCAGTGAGTGGGGTTCTGGGCCAGGGCTGCACTCTGGACAGGCAGGAGCAGGGAGGGGCAGGTGGCAGTGGTGCTGAGGGGTAGCTACTGATGGGCTTACAGCCACCCCAAAATTCACCATAGCCCTCCTAACCACCCTCCCTCCCAGTGCCACAGCCTGGCCCAGCCCTCTGCTAGGAAGATCCCAGCACATCCCCTGACCCCAGCCTGCAGCAGCAGCCTACCCTCGCCCAGCACGAAGATCCAGGGGCAACCCCTCCCCCCCATGCCCTCCTGGGGTGTGCGCAGCAGCAGGAGCCCCCCCACCCCGAACAAGCTGCTCACGGCTCCATCCCACACCCTGGCTGTGCAGCGCCTGCCCCTCCCACCCCCAGTTCTGGCTGCGCAGTGCCTGCCCCACTCCCTCCCTCACCACAGGGGCCTCAATCTGTCCTCCCTCCCCCCCCAACAGACCTACCAGCTGGACCCAGCTGCTATCCACACAGCCAGGCTGCACTCCTGGCCGCCTGCATGCTGCGCTGCACCTGCAAGCGTGCATGAGGCATTTATCAGCCACAACAGCCAGAAAAATCTGATTGTCAAAAAAGTCAATATTCCTTGTATTGGTGCCAATCCGATATGGGACTGATGTATCGGTGCACCTATACTATTCACAATTGCAATATGTCCAGAATTAGTCCATGAGACTAGACAGTCTCATTTTTTTGTTAGTAAAAATGCCTGTTTCAATTTCAAGTCATTAAGAAGTGAATAACAGAAGTCTATTCCTTCCCCTTCTGCAGGCTGACACCAGTATCAATAACAAAACAAACCTCAAGTTTTTCTGGTAGTTACAAGACAGCTAGTAAAGATATTTTTGGTCAACAAAGTTTTGAACAACTATATTGTACTAATCTATTTTAAGTAGGATGGGGGGGGAGAGAACATGCTTATACATTAAAATCTTGCACAATCAACATTCTGATTCAGTGTTGATGGGCAGGTTTAACAAAATGATGTACCTGTTAACTGAAAGTTATGGATACCTATTTCATATACTTTTTTAAAAAGACAAACTTTTGCACTGAGGGCAACAGTAATAGCATGACAAAGGCATTACAGTAGGTATGAATTTTGTGCAGTAAAAGTTGATGGCCCACAAAATCATTTATCATTCACATTTGATACAATTACCAAGTAGTCTTTTCAAAGCTTATATGTCCCTACCTATCAGGTGTCAATTGTGACATCAGGTATTTTTTATGAAAAAATGGATTATCATAAATAGATTATGAGGATTTAGATGCAAAACTCAGTAGATCAAGGTGGCCTTTGAAGAGGGGCTCTCCTACTCAAGAACTAATATTTGAAACAATGTTAAAGGAACAAGAAGCAGCACTGAAATTTGTTTTTCCAATTATTCAAAAAAATACACTGTAAGTAGAATTTAAAAGGCAGGCCCAAAGCAGAGTATACCAACATTTACACTAGTTGCTTATATTGTATTAGGTTTTCCAATGGCATCCATGATTGACCAGCTAGTAGGCCATACCATTTTCAGTTCTTTCTTTGTCTTGATATTTCCGATGTGATCTGTCTATTCGATTTTCTTTGCTTTGCTCTCTAAGAGAAGATCGGTGACTGTTTAATAAATTTACAGAGGAAGGAGCTGAAGTTCTTCTCTTTTCTACTTTTTCACCTCTATGTGGGGTACTCCTTAAGGCTATGTGCAGAGGACCATCTACAAAGAGAATAAAAATGCGTTGTATTCTTTAATACTTCTGAAATGCAAATCCTTTTAAACCATTATTGCCCAACCTTTTTCCCTCCTTGGGCTGGATGGACAGTGCTCAGTCTGTCTGCAGGTCAGATGTGGCATGCGAGGGGGAGTGGGGGGAATGAAGGGGATAGCAATATTACTTGCCACTGCTCCACTGCCAACAAACTTTCCAACCCATGGGGGGCACTGCAGGCCAGATGCTGGGGCTCCACAGGTTGCATCTGGCCCACGATGCACAGGTTGAGCACCCCTGTTCTAAACAGTCTAAAGAGGAATCACCTGCCAACACCATTTCTTTTTTTCTGAATGTATTGCCTTTACAGAGATGCACAATAGCTGAAATTTGTTAAAGGTATCCACAATGTTCAATCACAGCTTTTCATATACAGAGGGCAAATTCTCCCATCCCCATCATTCCTCAGTATCCCTCTACCTCTAGAACATGGGTGGGCAATTATTCCAGGCGGAGGGCCGCTTACTGAATTTTGGCAAACCATCGAGGGCCACATGACAGGCAGCCAGGGGCAGATAAATATTAACTTCCTTAATTTTTTAGGGGCTCCACAGGCTGGATAGAATCGCCTGGTGAGCCACATCTGGCCTGCGGGCCACATTTTGCCCACCCCTGCTCTAGAAGGACATAGGCGTTGAAGTAGACGATAATGACACGTGGTCAAATATGGCCTTTGTGAAGGCAATACATATATTTTTTGATAAACAGGTTCTTTTGTTCACAACACTTCTTCAATTGTACTAAACTAACTTATAGCAACCATTTGAAGGAACCAGGCCAGTAAAACACTGTTCTCTCAAAAGCCACATTGTCTCCACCTGAAACAATGGTCTCTCAAAACTACTTATCTGTCCTAAATGAAGTGTTAAGACAAAAAGTGATTCAGAAGGATGTGAATTAAATTGCATGGAACAGTCTTTCAAATTTTAGAGAAGGATACATAGCAGATAAATACTACTGAAGTTAATGGGCTCTTACATAAAGCAACTTGGAGAATTTCAAGTATACAAACAGCACCTAGCTCATAAAGTAACTCAATAGATAGCATTATCTTTTAAGATAGCATTTAGCCAAGATGGCTTAACTGATTTTTTAAAAATTGTAAATGTTACAAATAGCTAGTAACTGTGAATGGCTTAATGATGTCTAAACAGTAGGTAATAACTCTTTCCTTAGATTACCATGGGTTTTTGAGAAGAGAGAATCTGTGATATCAACTGAAGTGAAAGTTGCATACTCAGAGTTGAAATGGTCACCTTCCTATTCTGGAACAGAGACTTAAGAAGAAAGAACATTAGGATCAACAACTATAAGGACCTGCCAGCCAAGATAATAGCTAAAAATACTTCTGGCAAGAGAGTAAGCACTCAGGATCACAAAGAGTACAAAGTTTCTCTGTCAAGGAATTGGTGCAAAACAAAGGTGTGGCGGAGTACCCTGCTCCTCCCCCCAGCCCTGTTCCCTGGAGGCAGCAGCAGCGCAGGGTGCTGGCCAAGGGGGACGGAGGGGCAAGCTTCATCTGCTCCCTCTCCCCCAGTCACTCCTGACGGGCAATTGGCTAGTAAGGATTATAAAATTACTTTTCTCTAGATATTTCCTTACTTCACCACAGTCAAAAACAGAGTAGAGACTGTGTGTGGCATGTGTATAAAAATTGCCTATAAACAAAACATTTCCCTGGTAAAACACAGCATCTCTGGCTTCCATTTTCACATGGGCCAAGTTCTCCTCCTTTTAAAGCTACTTAATAGTAAAGAATAAACCAGAGCATTTAAGGCAGTGGTCTCCAACCTTTTTAAGGTGAAGATCACTTTTTGGAGTAAAGGGGCAACCCAGGATCTACTGCATCCCCCTGCCCTCCCACTCCGCCCAGCAGACCACTTTGTGCAGGAGGGAAGGGGGGGCATTGAGGCCCCCACAGTGGGGGAGGGAGTAGGGCACGGATGAGTGGGACCCTGGCCCGGCTGGGTGGTGGGAGGGTTGCCCCACTAATCTGTGCACGGGGCAGAGGCAGCTGTGGGTTGGGAGTGTGGGGCTGGGGTGGGAGGGGGCTGTGGATCCAGAGTACAGGGAGGGCACCAGAAGGGCTGGAGGGCAGGGGCTACGGGTCCAGAGTGAGAGGCACCAGCAGCACTGGGGGGTGGGACAGAGGCTTGCAAGTGAGGGGCAGAGGCAGGGCACGGTCCTCCCACTGCGCCCCCCACTACTACTATCTATTGTGCCCCCCACTCCGCCTCATCCCCTGCCCACCCAGTGGTGGGAGGTACGTGGTGTTGGGCCCTGGTCAGGCCCAGTGTTGGTACAACCAGCCCTTCCACGGCTGCATGCAGGGGGCCTTCTGCCGGTGGGCTGAGCCTTGCCCCCTACTCGCCCAGCACGAGGCCACTCCTGGGTCTGGTGCTGGGCCAACTGGCCTGTCCAGGGCCGTGCGGGGGAGAGAAGCGGGAGAGAAGGGGGTTGTCCAGTAGCAGGACCTCCCCCCCCCACGTGGCCCCAGACACGCTGTTTGTCCCAGCACATGGCCTGGGAGTGGCCAGGCGCTGTGTGTGTCCCGCGGCTAGGCTGAGCCGCATCTCCTGCCCCCCCAGTGGCTGGCCATACATGGGGCTTGTCCGGAGCCAAAGGGGGGGGGCTCCCGCCACTGGGCTGAGCCTCGTCCCCTGTCCACCTGGTGGCAGGACAGTCAGCCTGTCCAGCGCCGCATGGGGGGGGAGGGGGACCTGCCACTGGGCTCTTTCTGCTGATCCCCCCATCACATGGCCCTGGATGGGCCAATTGTCCCAGCACCCAGCACCACACATGCCCTGCTGCTGGGCCGAGCCCCATCCCCCCACCTGCCTGGTGCCGGGACACCCATAGTGCCAGGACCTGGCTGGGCCTGGTGCTGGGACAACTTGCCTGCCAGGGCTGGGGGGGGG